TTGCTGTTTTTATGTGTGATAACAGAACCTATAATCGAGGTAAGGTTAGGCCTAGCCTAGCAGCGTTGGATAGGCTAATGTTTTCGGCGCCTACGATATTTCTTCTCACGACCTATCGCAAAATCAACATGAAAAAATCATCCGCATTTATTTTTTGTGTGGAACACAAACAAACACATTTCAGTCTTATTTTACATTTTTTTTTTCATTCTTAGGAATGTCTAAATTCAGTTAAACTAGCAATTCCGTATTATATTTATAAATCTTTATAACATTATACAAAAATTAGATTTTTCTTAAAAACTGAAATTTTGCCGGGAATGGGGCTTTAAATATTTCACAGACTCGGTCGTACCGTACTGTACACACGTTAGTCTATTATCCGATAGAAGCTGCAAAAGGATGACCGTATCCAGTCAGGCATCAAGTGTGTTTTATGTTTTTTTCAAACCACAACACTTCCATACACAAAACAATTCTATTCTGTCTGCTGTAGAACCTTATCCAAACTGCAGTAGTATAAAATTGAGGTTTTTGGAGTGCAGATAAAGTTTTATATCCATACCAGCTAGGAAAGTCCCTGGAGTCCGATCCATCACATTTAAGACAGTTAGTTTGGACAACGAGAGTACACAACATTCCATAAATGTTTTCCTCTTATCATACAGTTTACTAGTCTTTTCAAGAGTAAGGGGGTATTGTCTCTCATTAGTATGGCTTTAATATTTGTCAAAATAGAAAACTATGAAATAGGGCACAACAAAAGATCCAGATTAGCTTGGGTACGGACGCACAAAACAAACAGATGTCTGGAAAGTCACGTTTGCCTGTTTACAAAAAACTGCGTAACATACTAGTAACGTACATACTACATACACACGAGCAGGATTTTAAAAGTTTCTATGCTTGCAAGCATAGGAACCAAAGATCTTATAAACACAAGATAGCGTTCTCCGCGATTTACGCGTGCAAATTCTGTAATAAGGCATGAATGGCGCCCTCTTGCTAAATTGGAAACTTTTGACCCTTGACCGCTCTGACCATACCGTACACCGCGCTACTTTACCTTAGGGTATCAATCCTGTGAACAGCAGAACAGGAACCATCTCAGATCCATGGCAACAGATAGGACGCCCTCTTCCAAAACTGATTACTTTTTCTCTTTGATATAATAGCGCATGAATGGCGCCCTCTTGCTAAATAGGAAACTTTTGAACCTTGACCGACGCTTCTATTTGTTACGCGTAAATCGCGGAGAACGCTATCTTTTGTTTATAAGATCTTTGATAGGAACCAAAAACAGACAAGCGTTAGTTGGCGTCCTACACTAGCTGCGTAGGGCGTATCGTTTTTTACGCTCTCAATGAGCGTTGTTGGCTCTCTTGTTCTATTAGGCATTTTTCGTTTTGACTACGCGGCCAGTCTACTACGAACTAATGGACCGTGACGGCAACGCCAAGACACTGTTCGCGTACTACACCAAGAGCTGTTTTCGTTTTTTTAAGGCGACTACGACGACGCAGCACACGTACGTAGGCCTACGGAGGGGAGTTAGTCGACCATGGTTTTATTACCAGAGAATAATGTTCCCTTGTTTTACATTTGAAAAAAAAAAAACCTTTAGTCAAATACTGTAGGCCTATACAAAATAAAAAGTTTCCAGAAAACACTGAGTGATGTTTCGCTGTTGGCTAGGATCTACCTAGGCTAGGTCTAGCCTAGCCTAGGTGTCAAAAGAGTCGTTACCGTGAGAAGAGGGGTGTCAGGCCTGCTCAGGCAATTTGCCAAATGCAACGATGATGTAGGCCTACAAATAAACACTTTTAAACAGAGATATTTAAAGGCTTGATCCACGATATCAAAGGCGGACGCCCTAGCTAGCGGCACCATACAGATAATGTGTTTTCTCTTACCCGAAATCCACCCTGACACGGCTAGGCTAGCCTAAGCCTGCGCCTAAGGCCCTTTTTTCACTAGATCCCCTGATTTACCTAATTTTATGTTGTGGCTATCCATTCCTCATTTATTGCATGTGTATAAATAGGCCTTCATAAAACATTTAATTACTCACTTGTTTTAATAATTAATTCATTTGTTGGGGATTGTTGAAATTCGGAGAATGAGATCGTAAACACGTTGTTGCAATGAACTATGACCATAAATACCGCAGGTGTTTAGCATCAAATCACTTTATTATGCTGTCTTACAATGCAGTTATAGCATAGTGTTCTACTGTATAAAAAGGTATAGTACAGTATAGCATAGCATATATATTCAACAACTGTGTATATTCTTCCTGGAAAAGAAAGAAAATAAAGTTGTCTTATGTAAGCACATAGAATCTACATGTCTTATCATTCCAGTTATTGAACAGTTTTAAACAAAGATAAACATTAAACTCGATAACAAACTCTTAAACAGCGCCCTCTATAGTACAGACTTACTCTGCTGAGATTATTCTGACAAGCTCTAATTTATGAGTAGCGCCCTCTATAATATAACTTTCTTGAACGACATCGTTAATCTCGAGTATTACAGTTTTTACTATTATGATGAAATTATGAATAAACCTCAAATAACAATTATAATAACAATAATTATTAAAACCTATAAATCATTTGCACAAACTGTAACTAAGCAGTAAGCTGCTATTGTGAAGCACAGCGCCTGGAAAACCAAGCGTAGGCCTTGCGTTCCCGTGTGGGCCTATAATACTGTATACAAGAGTTCAGCCTAGATGGAAGCCTTGCAAATGTCGACCACGAAGTCGTCGCTAGCCTAGCCTATAAATATTATTAAATTACACTGAACTAAAGGGTGATATGGTATGGAGATCGCAACCGCCGACTCCATATATAATATAATTACTTGATGACATGTTAAACATACCTCGATAAATGATATAGTATATAATAATACATGAAGATCCAGTGGTAAAAAATAGTATAAACTGTCACAAAGATCTCATGTTGTTGTCTCCCACCGATAACCAGTTCGCGCGTGGCGGCATAGTAAATTATTACGCGCAGGCGTAACAACATGTCATGATGTCATGATATCCCATTCCCCCAAAGAGTGACGGAATGTCATCAAACTGCAAAAAAGGTTCAAAAATGTTCATACAAAATGTCTAAATTTGGTTTACAATAGTATAATTGGTAATCAAAGTGCCACGCTAATCACAACGAAGTGCAACTGATGATTTCAGTAAGTCCAAAAACGAATCACGTAATCCAAATGAGTGCGAATACATATCTCAAAGTCCAACAAACAACGATAATTATGTACTGTAATCATTACACAATAATGCACATATTGATTTCTTTGGGCAGCGTTCGGCGTACACCCATACACAGTACAGACATACTCAAACTCTATATTATGTCTGATCGTTCTGTACTTTTCATTAGTAGGATCAGTTTGGTGACAGGTTTCTTCGCATTGGTTCCATCAGCAAAGTTGATGTCCACAACTCTCACAAGATCATCTTTCCCTGGGTAGACTTTAATGACTTCAGCCATTTTCCAAAGACCGCGTTTCTTCTCTTTACCAATGACGAGCACTATGTCTCCTTCAATCAGATTCTCAGTGGTGAAAGTTTATGCATACATTCCATCCAGCGTCGCCAAAACCCATCCACCATAGCATTGCAAATCTCTCTACGTTTTTGTAAGTTTCCTTTGTACTCTTCACATGGAACTTCAGGACATGGCAAATCGCCTCTTCCAATCAAGAAGTGGTTTGGTGTCAACGGTGGATGATCAAGTGGCGATGATGACTTTGCAGTTAAGGGTCGTCCATTGATAAGACCGGATATTTGACAGAACACAGTCTCCCATTCAACAAATGTAAGGCGATCTGCTTTCACTAGGTGTCTCATTCTCTTTTTGACTTCTTGGACCATGCGCTCAACAGCTCCTTGGTGGTGGGGTCCACCGGGCGGTCCAAATTTCCACTGAACGTTATACCGTTGGCATTGTTCTCGGACTGTGGTCTGGTCCAATTTTAGGTTTAACTCATTTATGGTGTTGTTAGCTCCTCTAAAGCAGGTGCCATTGTCGCTCACTAACAAAGATGGAGCTCCTCTGATGCTTACAAATCGTTCCAAAGCTTGTAGAAATGCTTGGGTTGACAGATCTTGAACACATGTTAAGTGCACAGCTCTAATTACTGCACAAGTAAATACCGCACAGTAACCTTTGGTGGTGGTGTTCCTGTTCAGCTTTACATTCACCGGACCAAGGTAATCTACAAGTGTGGTTTTGAATGGAGGTGAACATGGGTTCACTCGGAAATCGGGCAAGTCTGCCATCCTTTACTCTATTGGTTTTCCTTTGTGTCTCCTACAAATGATACACTGACGCACAACTACCTTAGAGATGTTTGTCTCCAACAATCCAGTACCTTTTCCTAACTTCTGTCGCAGTTGTGAAATGTCCCCCATGAAGGGCATGTGTGTGTCTGTCACGAACAATTATCAGGCTAATATGACTTTCCTTTGGGAGAAGGTAAGCGTGTCGCACATCATATGAAAGTGGTGCATTGTCCATTCGTCCACCAACACGGTACACTCTCTCGTTCTCATCAAATATTGAATCTAACTTCATAATGTTGTGGTTGTTGAAATTGATACCTGTTTGTGCTTGTCGAATCCAATACAACTCTGCTTCCCTGAGTAGCTTAGAAGAAGGCCACTGTGATATTTGCTGGGTTAACCGCTTTAACCATAGGTTCTTTGGCAGTTCCTTCAACGAGAGCACCCTAGATGTGATCATCTTAAGCCTTGGCCAACTGGAATACTTGCCGGCATCAACTATTGGTTGAGACTCAGGAATAGAATTTATTTTGAGTGCTAGTGTCTTAGCATTTCGGACGTGAAATTTCTTCTGTTCTCTATCTTCAAGGTCAACTTGAATATTCTTTGGAGTTTTTGGCCAAGAAGCAGGTGGTAGTCGTAGATACTCAGGTCCCTCGATGACCCTCTTCATGTCATTGACTGTTCCTCCTCTCGAAACAATGTCTATGATGTTTTGGTTCGATGGTACATGAACGATATCTCTGATAGGATCGAACTCAGTCGTGATCTCACCAACACGGTATGCAACATAGGAGCGAAAAGACTTGGATTGCCCTCTCAACCAGCTAACTGCAGTCATACTGTCTGTCATGACCCTTGAGTATGCTATGTTGAACCTCAAAGCATTCTTTACGGTAAGCAATAATCTTGACAACAGCAGAATTGCCTGAAGCTCTTTTCGTGGAATACTTGACTGCTTAAGTGGTGTTAGTCTGGCCCGTGCACACACAAACGACAGATAAGCCACAGTCATCTCAGGATGAGACCATTTCATCCACACTCCAATACCCATGGCATCTTCTGAGGCATCGCTCGCACCATGTAGAGATACTTCCGGCAAAGGTCTTACTCCTTTGAAAGGCTCTGGAATGAGGCATCTAGGAATTTCAATGTTAGTTGTTTTTTCAAGATCTTTATTGATCTCGTTCAATATAGCACAGAGCTCACCTTTTTGGTTAAGTGGGGTATCCCAATCAAGGTTCAGCTGCCATAGTTTCTGTAGAAGAATCTTTGGTCGAACAAGAATACCAGAGAGCATTCCGAAGACATCATAGTAAGAGGCGGTTTGCTTTAAGATATTACGCTTGGTTGGGACAAGTCCTTGAATCGGCTTTACTTCTTTGACCTTTAATGTGTCGTTCACAAGGTCCCACCTGGTTCCCAAAGCAGTGGCAGCACTTTTATCTTCTGATTTGTCACACAAATTCTGTACATTAGATTGCCATTTTCTTATAGCAAATTTTCCTTTATTCAGGGTCTCGGTAAGTTTAGACTTTATCTTGTAAGCCTCATTCGCATCAACAACCGATTCATTGAGGTCATCCATGTAAAACTGGTCAGCCACAATTCTTTTTAGCTGATCATCACCAGGTGCATGCTCAGATACTACATGTCTCAAGGTCACGATGGCAGCAGTCGGTGAAGGCTTATCTCCAAATGTAACAGTTGTCAACTCATACACTTGGATGGGATGACTAGGATTCTCTCGAAATACAAATCGATGAAAGCGGGCATCGTCTGGTCTAATTTTTATAGCTTGAAACATCTTGCTGATGTCGGCGATTATACCAACTTCATTTTCCCGGAACCGCAAGGCAAAATTAAACAGGTCAGTATTTATGTTCTCACCCTTCCAGAGATAATCATTAAGTGAATGGAACCTTGCCTTTCCATCATAGACCACTCTCACAGGAGTCGTTGTAGATTCTTTGGTAACTGCAAAGTGTGGAAGAAACCACATCTTCCTTCCAGCACCTTTATCTCGTTGTAATTCTTCCTCTGACACAAGACGCGAAACACCCCCCTTTAGTTGCCCCCTCATTTGATCGCAATACACTGCCCAATCAGCACTTCGATTCTCAAGCTGCCTTTCTAGGCTTTTCAATCTTTTTACAGCATAACTGTAGTTATCTGGTAGATCATCTGGTGTTTTCCACGGTAATTGGATTTCATATGTTCCATCTGGAAGTTGTGTCACACTCTGATTAATTGCCTCTGTTGCACTGTGGTTTATCAGATGTTCAGAACATTTACATTTTTTGGCTCTAAGCCAATAGTCTCGAGGCCGATAAAGTCTTCAATTGGTCCTACAGCAGACACATTAACATAGTTGGTCAGTGATGATATGGTCGATTGTCCTCCTTGGATGAACCACCCAAAGGGACATTTCACGGCGACAGGCTCGCTTGCACTCTCCCCACGGATGTAGTCCTCCCAAATCATTAAGTGTGTATTATCAACGCCAAGAAGTATGTCAATAATTGGAGATGGAGCAAGATGTATATTGACTTCACTCAGGTGATCGTACTGCATCAAATGCTCTCTATGTATTACAGGAGCGTTCCCACAGGGATCATCAATTTCTGTGATAGTAATTGGATGTGACCAAGTTCCGTTTATATCTTCAATGTGGCAATTCAGAAGTCTTAATTTCCTTGTTATCTTCTTCCCAACAACCAGACTCAGATCATGATCTTGATAAACATCTTGTCTCGTTCGTGGAAAAATTCCTGCTCGCAAGAGTGTTGCCTGACTTCCACCATCTAATAAGATATGCACTAAGCGACGGGTGTTGCCACATCTAAGATAAACCATGAAAGTGGGTAGAGTCACTTGTAGTTTACTCTTCTCGTTATAAGTGACAGTGTTTGACTGCTTAGCAACACTATCTGAATTGACAGGACGAAAGGGTTGAGCAGCATAATTAAGATTTGGTTGATCCCTCTTTTCATATAAAACAGGGCAAATAGCCGGAAAATGAAGATCACTTCCACAAGAAGGAGTTCGGCAAGGTGCAGCAAACTGACAGGACTTTTTGTCATATGGGTGTTTACCAGCAGAGCAATTATTGTGGTCACATCTGTAACAAATCCCATTATTTCTCATTACATCATATTTTTCCTTCTGAGACATGGCTTTAAACTTATTACAGCCTTTTACGAAGTGTGTATTAGAACTTGGATGCAGGGCACATTTGGGATTTCTAGTGTAATTTTGCTTGCTCTTCTCTCCAGTTGATACTGCAGCAGCATTTGAACACTTCTTTGATGAAGGTTCGCTCTCCACTACATGTGCTGCCTTCTCAAGTAACAGCAATTGACTATATAGCCATCTGACCAGACCAGTAAGAGTGTGCTTTGTTTTATTGTCCCTCACGCTTTTATAGTAAGCTATTCTGTGTTCTTCTGGTAGTCGTTGCTTTATTTGGCTCGGCATGATTTTGCTATTTAACTCTCCAGACAGACCAACAGTCTCCGCTCGGGTCTCAAATGTTTGAAGTGTTTGAACGAAACGGCTCATGGCAGGAATGTTGATCTTGTCTTTAATCTCGTATGACTTTAAATTCTTCAGGTCTTTTAACAGACTATCCACCACTCTGTCTTTGTCTCCAAAGCGTTCATCTAGTACTTGCCAAGCTCTAGCAACATTGACACATCCTTTAATCATATTTCTCTCTTTGACGTTGAGCATGGATTCAGTCAGCTGGTAGAAGCATTCTATTTCTGTTAAGTTAGCTGCACAATGGGTAAATAATTCTTTGAATCTTCTGTAATCACGGATGTTACCATTAAATGTAGGAAATTTCATTCTTGCCATCTTAGGTACTGTTTTTGACACGACAGGTTGAGATGCTAGAGTCGCCATCGTGCTAGGACTGTATGCGGTTGACACAGTCTCCGTTCCCTCAGGTTCTGTGGAGACTGGTTGAGGAGTTGCAGGAGTTGTCATCGTGCTAGGACTGGATGCGTTTGACACAGTCTCCGTTCCCTCAGGTTCTGTTGAGACTGGTTGAGGACTTGCAGGAGTTGGCATCGTGCTAGGACTGGATGCGTTTGACACAGTCTCCGTTCCCTCAGGTTCTGTTGAGACTGGTTGAGGAGTTGCAGGAGTTGAGAGCAGAAATGACTCATTAGAAAGAGACTGTGAACGGTGTTTAATTTCTCGTTTTGCATGCATTAGCCTTTGGATGAAATCCATCTCACAATCTGCCATCCATTTCTCCTCAGTCTCAAACTCCTCTTGGTCTACTATGATATCCATTAATTCGGAGTGCTTTGATTCAGTTTTTCCGAACTGTTGTTCCGCCTTGATGATATATGGTTTTAAGACATCTAGATCGACGTCCTCTTCTTTCAGCCGCTTTTCAATCATGGACAAATTTCTTGTCAATTGCCCTTTGTGGTTCCGTCTGCCGAGCTTCAATTTGTTGACGTCAGTCATTGCAAGCTATTGGTGAAATTCACAAAGTTGTTGAAACTGTTGGGGATTGTTGAAATTCGGAGAATGAGATCGTAAACACGTTGTTGCAATGAACTATGATCATAAATACCGCAGGTGTTTAGCATCAAATCACTTTATTATGCTGTCTTACAATGCAGTTATAGCATAGTGTTCTACTGTATAAAATGGTATAGTACAGTATAACATAGCATATATATTCAACAACTGTGTATATTCTTCCTGGAAAAGAAAGAAAATAAAGTTGTCTTATGTAAGCACATAGAATCTACATGTCTTATCATTCCAGTTATTGAACAGTTTTAAACAAAGATAAACATTAAACTCGATAACAAACTCTTAAACAGCGCCCTCTATAGTACAGACTTACTCTGCTGAGATTATTCTGACAAGCTCTAATTTATGAGTAGCGCCCTCTATAATATAACTTTCTTGAACGACATCGTTAATCTCGAGTATTACAGTATTACTATTATGATGAAATTATGAATAAACCTCAAATAACAATTATAATAACAATAATTATTATAACCTATAAATCATTTGCACAAACTGTAACTAAGCAGTAAGCTGCTATTGTGAAGCACAGCGCCTGGAAAACCAAGCGTAGGCCTGGCATTCCCGTGTGGGCCTATAATACTGTATACAAGAGTTCAGCCTAGATGGAAGCCTTGCAAATGTCGACCACGAAGTCGCCGCTAGCCTAGCCTATAAATATTATTAAATTACACTGAACTAGACTGAGCTGGAATATGACGTTTTAGGATCATCATTACCTAATAAAAAGATGTGCCAAATTTGGAATCTGAAAAATGTCGGCTTCATTAGGTAATTTAAGGATTTGTATGTCCTTACAGCAAACCTGCCAGAAATTAATGAGGTAAACAAATCTGCGTTGTGACGTCATTTGTGCCTGAATTCAGGTTGCGTAATCTGATCCACATCAGTACACGCTGGGAAAACATATGCGCAAGCAGATTAGTAGTAGTTGTGTACAGGGTGTTTTTGGTATAATCTGTCCAAGTACAGCTACGGTATGTGGATGAATTGTTATGGTGACTAACACTTAAATAATTTAGCATCAATAATATTATACTAAATACAATAATGACAGTACTACACAAGATGTAGAAGCAAATAAATCCACATCACGATCACCATCACGATCCAGAAATAGGCATTTAGAATTCTATAATAAAATACACTAAATCACTGCTGATTTCAAATGCGTTTCATAGCTTGTTTCTGTGCTGTGCACTTGCTGTGATTGTGAAAAATGAGGTGCAATAGAAAGAGAACTACAAATTGAAGAACATTATAAAACAAAAACAACTATAAGCTTTCATTTAGGTAGTGAACTTTTTTTATATTTAATGTTCAAAATTTATATATAATTATATCATTAATGCAAAGAGGTTTAGAGACAGAAGATTCTTTTATTTCCACTTGTGAAAAAATTCAAATGTAAAATTCTTTTTCCTGATGCTTATACTATATATACTATAAATAGTACAGTACTCCAATAAAGAAACAATTTATGTACAGTATTTGTGTTTATTGTAATTTGAGAATGATTAATATATATATATATATTTTATAATGTATATATATATATATATATATATATATATATATATCTTGTATAAGCATCAGGAAAAAGAATTTTACATTTGAATTTTTTCACAAGTGGCAATAAAAGAATCTTCTGTCTCTAAACCTCTTTGCATTAATGATATAATTATATATAAATTTTGAACATTAAATATAAAAAAAGTTCACTACCTAAACGAAAGCTTATAGTTGTTTTTGTTTTATAATGTTCTTCAATTTGTAGTTCTCTTTCTATTGCACCTCATTTTTCACAATCACAGCAAGTGCACGGCATAGAAACAAGCTATGAAACGCATTTGAAATCAGCAGTGATTTAGTGTATTTTATTATAGAATTCTAAATGCCTATTTCTGGATCGTGATGGTGATCGTGATGTGGATTTATTTGCTTCTACATCTTGTGTAGTACTGTCATTATTGTATTTAGTATAATATTATTGATGCTAAATTATTTAAGTGTTAGTCACCATAACAATTCATCCACATACCGTAGCTG